TTAGAGCCCTACTCTTCTACTTTTAAAAAGAGTTTAAGATGGTATAGTATCATTTCTTTGAGTTTCTGGTAGAATTCACCTGTCAAGTCATCTGGTCCTTGGCTTTTTATTTTTTGGTTATAGAACTTTGTTTGATTCCTGATTCAATCTCTTTGTTATTCTTTTATTCAGGCTGTCAATTTATTATTTTTATTATAATTTATTAATTTATTATTTTATGAGTTGAATTTTTTTATTAGCACCTTTTTTTTTTTTTGCCTTCAATGAAATAATTTAGGCAAGCCATGTTGGCAGCCTAGAGCACACAGAGATTTTTTGTAAAGTGATAGGATTTTAGAGCCCTGGAGAAAGAAAGTACACCTTCAAGTGTAAATGTGGGCAAGTGCCAAGAGGGCAGCTGTGTGGAATTATAAGGCTCTGGTTACGCTCAGATGTTTAAACGGGTCTTTAAGGAACATCATTTCCTTCCTCCAAGGTCACTGATCTTTTACAAGGAAAGGGGTTCTTTTGATTAACTTCAGTGGAAAGAAGTTTCCTATTTACTCTGTAGGTGGAGTGTTTCCATACAGCTTGTTTTGAGATCTTGGAGATTTGTCCAAAAGCCATCCCCATAGTCAGGACCTTATCAGCATGCTCAGAGGATGCTGATATATTACACTCCCTTGGGTTACAGCTTGAAACCATACCTTGTTTGGATTTTATCTATAGATAATGATGAAGAAAATGGAGAAAAGTCTTCTTTGCTTTTTACGTAGGTCTAGCTCCCTTCTCCAGACCTGTCAATGCCTAACTCTGCCTAACACTCTTGTACTCTCTACTCTTTGTGATACTATTGATTCTTTGTTTGTTTAGTCCAGTTGAGGGTTGGTCAATTTTGTATATATTTTCAGTACACCAATTCTTAGTTTTGATTTTCCCACTGATTTTCTATCTTTTATTTCACTTATTTCTGCCCCAATGTTTCTAATTTCCTTCCATATGCTAACTTTAGATTTTTGTTGTTCTTTTACTAGTTCTTTGTGTTGTAAAGTTAGGTTGTTCAATGAGATCTTTTTCTTTTTTGAACTGGGAATCGAACTCAGGGCCTCATGCTTGCCACACAGGTGCTGTGGTGCCGAGCTACATCTCAGGCCCTCTTTTTGGAGGGGAAGGGTGTACTGGGAATCAAACTCAGGACCTTGTGCTTGCCAGGCAGGTGTGGTGCCACTGAGCTACATCCCTACTTAACTCTGTAAACTTTTTTAGTTCTACTTTTGTTGCATTTCATAAATTGTGATAAGTTGTATTTCACTTTTAATTTATCTAAAGGCCTTTTAAAATTCCCTTTTGAGGGCTGGGGATTTAGCTCAGTGGTTCTGCCACCTGCCTCACAAGTGCAAGGACCTGAGTTTGATCCCCAGTACCAAAAACAAAAACAAAAAAAACCCCAAAAACCAAAATTCCCTTTTGATTTCTTCATTGTGCTTAATCACTGTTTAAAAGTGTGTTGTCCATTTTTATGCATTTGTGAATTATCCTGCTTTCTATTACTGAAATCTGTCTTGTAGGATTCCAACGTGGTCTTGTTGCTGGTAGGGATCTGTAAGGCCTGAATCTGAGCCCTTGCTCTCTGGATTTTTCGGCCCATCATCAAGAGTATGAGAAAAGCTCGTGTGCTAATTCACAATTTGGCCAAATCGGGAGGGTAGCTGGTCCACCTCCCTCAAGCCCAGGAGTACTCCAATTTATAGAAAGGATACACCATGAAGCAGGAAATATATATGTGTAGATTTAGCCAGGTTTTGAGGCAGAGGTGCTGAGAGAATGCTGAGTCCTCCTTATCAGTGTCAGGTCAGGATGTAGTGTTTTACACTTTCAGCCCAAGGAAGCTGGAGAAGAAGCTTATGCCTAAAAAGTATTCAAAGTTTTAAAGATCCATTTTAATGTTTTGTTTATAGTCTAAGAAGATACTTGAAGGATTTCAATCTTCTTAGATTTGTTGACACCTAACATGTGAGTCTATATTTTTTTGTTATAAAATAGGCTTTATGTTCAATGTGTGTTTTTTTCAACATGTGAGTCTATTCTGGGGAATGTTCTATTATGTCCTTGTAAAGAATGCAAATTCATTTGCTTTTAGATAGAAATTCTGTACACATATTAGGTCCCTTTAACCATTGCTCAAGTCAGTTGTTTCCTTACCGATTTTTGCCTGAATGGTTTTTGATCCATTAATGAAAGTAGAGGACTGAGGCCTGGTGATTTTATTGTATTGTAAGATTTTCTTCAGGTCTGTCAATATTTGTTCTAAATAATTAGATGCTCTGATGTTTTTACATATTTATTAACAACTACTACATCTTCTTGTTAAATTAATGCTTTTATTGTTATATAATGGCCTTGCCTCTATTGACAGCATTTGACTGATAGTTTCCTTTGTGTGAAATAATTATAGGCACCTCTGCTATCTTTTAGTAACCATGTACATGGAAAATCTTTTCCATATTCTCACTTTCTCATATTTAAAGTAAGTTTCCTGTAAATAGCATATCACTAGATCTAATTTTTTGTTGTTTTTTGGTTTTGTTTTTGAGACAGGGTCTCACTATATAGTTCAGGCTGGCCTTGAACTCTACTATGTAGCCCAGGCTGGCTTCAAACTCACAGTGATCCTCCTGCCTCTGCCTCCTGAGTGCTAGGATTACAGGCATGTGCCACTACACCTGGCCAGATCTAATTTTTTAATCCAGTTACTATATGCTTTTTTATTTGACTTGTTTTTTAGTGGTTTGGTTCGATTCTTTTCTTTTTGTACTGTGTATACTTACAATAAGTTTTTCCTTTGAAGTTACCAAGAGGCTAGTATAAATGTTCTTTTAGTTCTAGCAATCATTTTTATTTGATAACAATTTAAATTCAATTACATAAAAGACTATGATTTTATCATTCTGTCTCCCCCACATACTTTGTTTTCTTGAAGTTAGTTTACTTCTTTTTCATATTTAAGCCTATTATCAAATTGTTGTGACTACAGTTACTCTTAATACTTTGTTTTTAAACTTTGGATTAGGGTAAATATTATGCCACCATCACAGCGTTATATTTTATGTGAGTATATGTTTGTTTCCACCCATAGGTTTTATACCTTGATATGCTTTCATATTACAGTTTAGCATGTTTTGATTCTACTTGAAAAACTTTCTTAACTATTTCCTACAAGGCAAGTCTAATAGCAACACTTGGATTTTTATTTTCTGGGAAAAATTTTATCTCCCTTTTATTTCTAAAGGATAGCTTTGCAGGGTATAATATTCTTGATTAGATATTGTATTTCTTTTAATACTTTGAATATATAATTTTTTTTTTGGTCCTGGCTAGGAATTTTTCTGTTGAGAAACTGACAGTTTTATAAGGTTTTCCTTGCATGTAATGATTTTCTTTACTGACACTGCTTTCAAAATTCTCTTGCCTTTTTTTTTTTTTTTGGCACTGGGGATCGAACTTGGGACCTTGTGCTTGTGAGGCAGGCGGTGGAACCACTGAGCTAAATCCCCAGCTCTTGCTATTGATTTTTGACAACTTAATAATAACGTGTCTTGCTGAAGATCTTGTTATGCTCAACATATTTGGAAGTCTATGGCCTTCTTGAGCGTAGATGTCTATTTCCCTCCCCAGATTTTGGAAAGTATTTATTATTTAAGTTAGACCTTTTCCTTATTCTTTTCTTCTGAAATTCATAATGTAAATGCTGATCACTTGATATTATCCCATAAATTTTGTAGTCTTTCTTCATTCTTTCTCTTTTCTCTCTATTTTAACCCCTGACTGAATAGTTTCAAGTGACCTGTCTTAAAGTTTGGTGATTCTTTCTTCTGCCTGATTGAATTTACTCTTGAAAGTATTCACTGTAGTTTCAATTTCACTCACCACATTTTTCAGCTCCAGAATTTTGGTTTAATTATTATTTATAATTTCTGTTCCTTTGTTGAGCTTCTTGTCTTGTTTTTATATATTTTTTCTAACTCTTTAGCCTTATCTTTTAGAGCTTCCTGAGATTCTTTGGAATTCTTTGTCAAGAAGTTCATGTATATCCATCTACATCTATTTGTAGTTAGCAACTGGTAGTTAATTTTATTTCTATGATAGTGTCATTCTTCCTGGATTTTTCACATTTATGATGTTTTTGCATTGGTATTTGAGCATTTGAAGAGGTGGTGACCTCTTTCGGACTTTGCAGCATGGCTTTTGTAAGGAGAGATCTTCATTTGGCAAGGAAATGGGATCTCCAACAAAGGGTACATGTGAAAGCATGCTGTACCACTAGGTCTATTTGTGCAGAGTGTGAGTGTGGAAATACACACAGCTTTGGGCTGTGGTAGTGTGATGGCTCATTTGGGTTTACTACATTGGAAACTTCATGGTCTTTAGCAGCTATGAAGAATCAGTCCATGATGTTTCTAAGAGTTGTTTGGGTCTTCAGTGATGCTTCTGAGTTCATTCAGGGATGCTTTTGAGTCCAATGGAAAGAGAACCTGGATAAGTAGGGGCTGGGGCTAGTAGTAGAAGCCACAGCTAGTTGCAAATAAGCATGTGGTGGTGAAAGATCCACAATGACTGATGGTGCCTAACTTCTTCCCTTCCTTCAAAGACATCCCTCTTATTTCCTCCTCCTGTACACTTGAACACCCTCTTTAATCTACTTCTTTGCTTCTTCTCAGTTCTTATTCTCCTTGTTGTTTTTCTCCTCCCAGAAGCTGATAAAGCCCACTCTGTTCTGTACTCAGAGACCAATCCTTTTTCAGAATTACCATAATCCTAGAGTTATTATAGATATCTCTTAAAATGTAACTATACTCTGGCACTCTTATAAGTTAATGTCACCAAAATATTTAAGATCCTTCAAGGCCGGAGTCTAAGATGAAACTCTGTTGAAATGCCCAGCACACTGGGTAGTTTTTTGTCCTTAGGACAACCCTCTCAAAACATTAGTAGGATAATACATGAAATAAAAAGAATCTTACCTGGATAGTGGATATCTGAAAAATCTTCTTGTAGAAAGAATTCATTTCTGTGAAATGAATAAAGTTTAGGCAGGTTCTGGAAGAAAATTGGTCTAGGATTCTCATCTCTCCCTTGTCATTAATTGGCTTGGAAAATAACTCTTCATTGACTGAAGGAGTACCCTTCAGCATAGGTGGTCTGTTGCTAAAGAACAACCCAGATTTCAGTAATTTACTTTCCTTCTGTTGTTAACTAAGTGTAAAAAAGGCAAGCATAACTCAACCCTGAAATCACTCATAAGTGACTGCGCAACCTAAGAAGGTCTTTGTTGAGCCTATAATTTTTTATAACTTGAAACACAGTACGTCACTATCGTATTTATTGTTTTCTCATTTTTTGCCAGTCTTTTCTCTAGATTATAAATTCCCTGAGAGCAAGGACCTTGTGTGTCCTGTGCTGTGACCCCTGGCAGTGCTCTGACTGACCTACAACTGGTGCTCTCTTGCTATCTGTGGAATGTATGTATGGATGAAAGGGTTATATTTTTGTAAATATATATATTCCAGTCCAATTCTAACATATCATCATAAGCACCATAACCACATATATATTATAAACACTGGATAAAATAAGATTGTTGTATCATTTAGATGGAAATCTTTCCACTAATTCAGAGACACTCACCTTTCTGTGCCTTTTTCTAGTTTTCCATTTTGTTCTTGACATCTCTTGATCATTAGGATTCACTGATAATTACTGAATGATTGGACTTGTCGAGATACTTTGATGACTAAATCATTGATTGAATCCTTTCTTCATGCTCAGAATTAACATGACATCTGAATATCAAAATTATATAGATCCTACATATCAACCAAGGGTAACTTAAGAAAAAAGCACTCTAAGATAATAATGGACTACAGGCTATTACCAGATGGCACAGACAAATCTAACACATAAGAAAAAAAGAATGCAGCATCCTAAATGCCTTTTTCCTAAAGAACAAAGAAGAAAATTCTTATCAGAATAGATGTTTCACTGCTTAAAAAGCAAGCCCATTATAATATCTCAATTCCAATAGATTGTTACCTTTTCATTATCTAAGCTTTCTGGTTCCTTCTCCTTGGCCTCTACCTACTTCTAAACTATGGTTATCGAACTAGACATTCTATGATTCTATTAACATCCTATGAACTTTCCATCCAGGTCACAGTTCAGAGTTCTGTACTGTCCCACTCTCTCATACACAGTGTACTACAATAGCTTGTTTAATTCCACTTACTGGTCAGTGAGCTCCAAAAAGGCTAGCAGTCTATTTTAGTTCAATAATATGTACCCAACACCTTTGTCAGTAATTGGGATATGTAGAAAGAAATTAGTAAATATTTCTTGAATCATTTTAAGATTTAATGATGCAAAGTCTCTAGTTATCATACATAGTACACATAATATATCAATGAGTAGAGCCATGCCCTACCAGTGGAAGGGATTTTCTCAAATTAATTTTATTGGTACATTTTAGGTATACAATATAATGACAAACTGAAAGTGTAAATAAGGATCAAAAGGTATGATAGATAATGTGAAATAGGAAGAAAAGGGGCAAAGGGGAAGGGGAAGAGGAAGTGGGAGTGGTAGGGGAAAGGAAAGAAGGGAATGGAATTAATATGAGAAAATGAAAAAAATGGAAACAAAGTCTTAGTAAATAGGGAGGGTGGAAGGGTTGAAGCGAGGGCAGGAGAATGGGGAAAAAATAAGAATCAAGATATATTATGGGAGGGATTTGTTGAGCCTTTCTGTGTACAGCTACACATTTTGAACAATGTTTCATAACTCTAGGAAATGGCAAATTGGGACTACAATGGTAGCTTTCTGTTTATAAACACTAAAAATTTAAAATAATTTATTTTAAAGTATAACAGTGACTATCATAGGATTTTACCAGCCCTGAAACTTTTTACATTTTTTTTTCTGAGTCCTTGTTAGGCATAATAACCCTCATGAAGAGATGCGGGAGTTTAAATTGAGGTTTCTAGATTTTAAGAATGATTGATGAGTGGGCCGGGGATTTAGCTCAGTGGTTTCATTGCCTGCTGCGCAAGCGCAAGGACCCGAGTTCGATCCCTGGTAACAAAAAAAAAAAAAAAAAAAAAAGAATGATTGATGACGATTGATGACAGGAAACTTCACTTATTTCTCAAGGTCAGCAAAAATGTTTCTGGTTTAATATACAGCCAGGACTTCTAAATAGATTAAAAGCTTCTAACTTTTTTTTTTAACTTACTTTGTGCCAGACAATTTTCAAAGTATTTTTCGTGAATTAACTCCTGTAGTCCTCATCCCTACCCTGTAAGGTAGGTTTTGTTACAATCATTTTCATTTTGTGAATGCAAACCGAGGCACAGGAAGGTTAAGATACTAACTTCTTAAAGGTCACACAGGTAGCTAGTGGAAGAGTCAGGATATGAGACCAGGAAGGGTGTTTAAAAATGACAGACAAAAGAAAGTATTACTGCAGGTGGAAAAACTATCTGGCTCCCTTCCTCATTCTCTTGCAATGCTGAGCCTTCTCACACCCTAAGATATACCTTTGGACTGTTGAATTATATGAGCCCATAAATTCTCCATTGTTATAATCAAATCTACCCCGGAATCAGCTGCAGTGACAGATGTCTGTAATCCCCTCATTTTGGGAGGCTGAGGCAAGAGGATTGCAAGTTCAAGTCCTATCTACAGAATTTAGCAATACCCTGTGTTAAAACAAAAAAGGGATGGGGATGTAGTTCAATGTGAAGGCACTGGGTTCAATCCTCAGTAACACACACACATACACAAACACATACACACACATGCCCACACAATCTTCTTGAGCTGAGCTGCTTTTTCCAATGTTTATCATCTAACTGATCCTAAACATAGTTTGCATGGGCCGTGGATTTAGTTTGCACATCTAATAAATTAATAAATGAGTCTGTGTGTACACAGAGCAATGCCTAATACCTGGTACTTACCAAGCGTTCAACAATTTGTATACAATATTATCTAAGCAGGAGTTTCTCGCTGAGGTTTTCACCATTTTCATTACCACCTATAAGGCTTTTTCTCAAGTTCTCAATCTTTCCAGAGTTCTCTTGACCTATTAAAATATCACCTCTATTTCAGTCACCCTCAGTTCATTTTTTTTCCAAAGCCATTTCCAAGATCCCTGCTCTCTAACCTAGATGAGATGCTCATGGTTTCTTCCTCTATGTTCACAGAGAGCCCTCTTCCCTTTAGGTAACATTGAAATCAACTTTTCTGGCTGCTTGAGGCCAAGGGTGGGTTCTTTATGGCTATGTTCCCTTACAGCTCCACCACACAGCAGATGTTCAATAAATCCATATGTGATCAGCTTCAGGTGAAGTTTCAGTAAGCAATCTCATGCCAAAGTAATGTCCATTGTATTAGTCTGGGGTTTTCAGAGACACAGAACTAATAGGATATAAATAGCAATGCACACCTTATTATTAGGGGTGGGCTAAATCCCAGAATAGTCAACAAGATAGTTCCTGTCTGCGTCCACAGGCTTGAGAACCAGAAGATCTGATGATGTAAGTTCCAGCCCAAGTTTATTTTCAGAGGCAAGAGAAGAGCAAGGTCTCCTGGCTGAAAGACCATCAGGCAGAGAGATCGAGTACTCTTTTACACTGCCTTTCTGCTCTGCTCAGGCCTTCACTGGATCAGATGAGGTCTACACACACTAGAATGGGAAATATGCTTTACTCAGTCTACTGATTCAAATGTTAAGGTTATGGGGGTACCACCTTCACAGACACACCCAGAAAAATGTTTAGCCAAGTATCTGGGCACCCCATGGTCCATCATTTTGGTACTTAAAATGAACCCTCACAGTCATGTAGAGTGAAAAGGAAGGACTTATGGAAATCTCCTGGTATATCATGGTCATATTTATAATTCATCATCAGCCAGGTTTGGTGGTGCAGGCCTAAAATCCCAGCACTCTAAGAGGCTGATACGGAAGGATTGCAAATTCAAGGGCAGCCTAGGCAACTTAGACCCTATCTCAAGGTTTTTATAAAACAGGGTTAGGGATGTAGCTCAATGTGAGAGCCCTGGATTCAATCTCTATTACTAAAAAAATAATTAATAATGAGCAGAGGAATAATGTAATGAATAAGAGGAAGTTTTCCTACCTACATATTTGGAAAACAAAGATATATTAGTTGACTGCGAGTTACTTATAAATAGGTTATCAGAGATTCTGATAATTATTTGTACTTGATTTTTTTCAGGAAAATATTTTCTCACTTGTTCATCCTAAGGCACCATATGTAAAACTTATTTTTCAAATACTGTCAATCCAATCAGAAGCTCCCCACCGACCCATGAAGCCTTTTTCCTAGCTCTTCTGCCCTCCATGGTGGGAGGAATGGCTTGTAGTTTGAGTTCCCTCAAACTACAGGGTGGTGGCTGGGGTGGGGGGGATTTTCCTGGCTGCCTCTGTGGAAAAAACTTTAGGCCCAACTTTTCCCCTTAAATTCTTAGGTTGCAAGTAATTTCTACACTCTGTAAAATGACAATAAATAAGTGAGGAATCTGTGAAGGGGAAAATAGGCCTCTCCAAGGAGACTGATTAGGTTTCTTGACTTGTTCAAGAGGAAAAAAGAGCAGAGAGGTATTTGATGCAGAACTTTAGCAGTCCCTATGGGATCACAAATGCTTCTGTCCATCTATTCTGGCTCTTGGGGTCAAGTTCAAACTGTTTCCTGTAATAGAAGGCTGTGTCCTGAAGTGCAACTTGACAGCCCGGAAGTGCTTTGTTTCACTGAACTAATGTATCTTCTACATTGATGTAAGCATAAAGAATGAGAGGCAAGGACAATGCCACATTTCAAACCCAAGGAATGGAAAATATTAAACATAAATATTTTGATCTCAGAGGATAATCAGTTATAAACCTTAGATCCAATGCTTTTAACCATCACATTACATTGTATCTCTAGTCTTAGAATGGCAGTAGGACAGTATTTTTTTTTTTTAATTTGAGAAGTTTTTTCTTTTCTTTTTTTTTCTGCTTGCTTGTTTTATCATACTCTCCATGATAGTCTGCTTATCTGGGACATTCATAACTGAAATAGCGGGATTTTAAACAATGCTATTTTCATATCCAGCATGCATAGTTTCAGGGAAGCCTCATGACTTGGAATAATTTGTAATATTACCATAGCAACTTATGTGAATGTGCAGACACTAAGAATATGATTCCACAAGGAAATGCTGGAAAAGAAGCTTTTAAACACATATGCAGTAAGAATTAAATAAAAAACTGAATTGTATTTTAGAGGGGTGATGGTGCAAAATGTGTTAAAAGTTAATTTGAGTCTTTAAATACTAAAAACTGTGTAAAGGAAATGCAATGAAATATGACAAATGTAAAAAAAAAAATTCCCGAGGAAAACAGTACTTGTGTAGCACTATAAGACAGGGCTACTGAGAGAAGCAGGTTGAAAAATGAGCTGAGTAGGTATAGGGAAGATATCATTCACTTCCCTAGCCAAACACTCCCAGTTTGGGAATTTCAGAGCTTGAGAATTAAAAACTATTAGAGTTGTAAGGATTCTTAAAGGTTCTTTATGATGTTTGATGACTGTAAAATTTTGTAAGTGAATACGTCAATTCTATACAGCGGTAGCTATTTGTTGTTTTGCTCTCACAGCCTTAATTTCTCCTTTGTATGGTAATGTATACTATGATTTTCTGGGGTAAACCACTGGTTCTCAAGTGTGCTAAATTCACCCCAACTCCAGGTTTCCTGGAGAAATACAATATAGCACAGTATCCCCTGACACAGCAATGAGATCAAACCAGAGCAAGGGCTGAAGTACACCACGAGACTCATTAGACTTTTTTTTTCCTGGAGCTATTGGGAAATAGGCTTTTTACCCCACCAGATTTGCTCAAGTGGAAGCCAACACAAGCAGGTTGTCATTCTGCCACTCATGTGGTTGAGCTTGCCAGAAAATGATGGCAGCATCCAGAAATTTGACTGGAAACCTCAGGGAAGCCCTTGGCAATGCCTAGCAGTTCTAACATTTTCCTGGTCAACATTCTCTCTCATTTTCTGAGAAGTCTTCTTCAAATTCTCTCCTTTCTCTTCAAGCTTCCAATATGTTTTCCTCCCTATTCATTAACATCTGATGATACAGATTTTTATTTCACTATAATAGACTCAATCAGAAGAGAATTCCCTGTGTTTCCACTAGCAATCTGTCAACCTTCCAGCTTCAGTAGTAACGTATTTTTCTTCCCTTCATTACTATAGCACTGTTATGTCCATCCTCCTTTTTAATATCAGCTGCCTAGGTGCACTGGATCCCAAATCACACCACCCACTGCTCAGTTTTACACCTGTATTTACCCCTTGCTTTACTTTATTTTCAATGTTCTCTTGTCTACTGTGTTATTCTTATTAGTTTATGAACTTTCTGTGACATTTGGAACTTAAAAAACAAGAACACATAAAGAAAATGCTTACATTTTACATTGTCTAGTTCTGTTTCCTTTACCATCTTTTAGAGAGAACGTCCTTCAAAGTATTTTCTATGCTCCCTGTGTCCTTTTTCCATCATCTCTTTTCCTCTTTAGCTCTTACCAATCAGGCCATGACCCCACCTGAAATCGCTCTCATCATGTTGCTATCTTACCTAGTGAGTGTCTCAGCAGCATTACCACATTTCATCACTCTTTCCTGCTTGACATAATGATTTCAGTTGACTTTGAAGACATCTGTTTTGTTCTTGTTGTCACTTTGTTTCTTAGTTTTGTGCCTTGGGCCTGTTTTTCCAGAAGAGGGTTTGGTTCTAGATCCTCTTCTCTTCTCTATTTACATTCAATGCCCACGGCTCTAAACATTATTGTTCCATTCATGAATAGTTATCATGTTTTAATCTCCATCCCTAACTTTTCCCCTGTAGTAGTCTGTTATGTATCTCTGTAAATATCAATATATACATACATGATAATGGTTTTCTGCTTGGATTCCAAAATATTAGAGTCAATCATAACTCTCTTCTTTCTCTTAAATCACACATCTTGTCCATCACTAAGTTTTGTTGGTCACAAATCTGTCCACCATTCTCCATCTTTCTAGCTGAATCTTGGTTCTAGGACCCCTTCATCTGGCATTTAGATTATCAACATCCCCTACCTGGGTTTCCTGCTTCTTGGAGAATCCTGCTTCTTGCACAAAACACTACTCATGGAGAAATGTTTTCTTTTAAATATATATAAAGCCATGGTACTTCACTGCTCAAAGCCCCCATTAATTTTCTATCAGTTTTGTAACAAAATGCAAACAACTTCCTTTCACTACAGAGTCATTCACTTACAATTCCTTTCCCTTTCCAAACCTCTTCCCTACTCTCCCTTTCACTCTCTTGGCTCCAAGCACACAGAAGTCCTTGGCTATCCTCAACATGCAGACATGCTCCAGGCTCAGCACCTGCACACTTGCTCTTCCCTTTTCCTTATGCCTCCTGTTCACTGCCATTTCCCTAACTGCCCAACCTGGAAGACTGTTCTAAAATCTCACCATAACTCCTTTTTCCTTAGCCTTGTTTTATTTTTGCTCACAGCACTTATTACTACTGCTGATTTAAATATTTGTTTACTGGTTATCTCCACCACTAGAACAGGAAGGGATAACTATGTCTAACTTACTACTCTGCATTCAGCATTTCTGAATAGTGCTTGACACAAGGTGAGTATTGAACTATATTTCTGAATAAATCAATGACTGAAGGAATGAATGAAAAAAATTCCTAACCCAACATTTGAGCATCTGAATGTAGCAATGCCAGATGGTATCACTCTCATCATTTCTGTTACATGAACTAGAAAAGCTCTTCTTCCCTCCCCCCCTCCCAATTTCTTGTAGTTTGCAAATGAAGCATCTGACCAACTACAGACAGATTTGGGTCATTTCTTCCAGATTATGCCTTCAGTGTGTTAAAGTCAGGCTTTATGGAGGTTTTTACACAATGGGACTCAGGAAACTACAATTAAGCCCCCTTTCCTTGGAAAGTTTTTCTTTTCTTTTTGTGAGGCAGGATCTTGCTATGTAGTTCAGGCTGGCCTTGAACTCATTGTGTAGCACAGGATAGCCTCCAACTCACAGTGATCCTTCTGCCTCAGCCTCCCTGGTGATGAAATTATAGGCTGGAAGGTTTTTTAAAAAGTTTCCGGCAGTCTTAAAAATAGCTCTCTGACTTCATAAGAATTATGGATTTTCAGAATAAAATACGGAAGAAGACATAGACAAAAATAGGGAGACAAACTAGAAATACAAGAAATGTTGGTTGGTGTCATGTGGTTTGAAGAATATATTTTGAAGGCTGAGCCAATAGGACTCGAGGATGGATTGAGAGAAAGTACTGAGAAATCATGGATGAGTTCTTGTTTGAGGGTATGCACTATGAGATGGGTGGTGATGACAGTTACTGAGATGAGAAACAATGGGCTGGAACCAATCTAATGAGATATCTGGGACAGCAAACCCTTTTAGATTGTTGTAAGGGAGGCAAAAGAACAATTTATTGTACTTTAGGAGAACTGATTTCCAAGGCCAAGTCTCTTGCTAATAGCAACTGTTCCCTCTAACATGCCAAAGAAGTACTAGATTCTTTTCATTCTTTAGTTGAGTAAAGTAGTCTAGGTTATTTCTGAGGTTTATCCCAGCTCTTTCCTTCTCTGATCCCTGGCAGCACCTGCTTCTCTATTATCCAATACACACAGGTTGTTGTTTTCTTACAAGAACAGAAGTCCTTCTTTCCAAAGTCATAGCAAGGTCTGCCTTGGTGTCTCATTTTAATTTAATTATTTTACATTTTCTAGGTTGAACAGGCAATTTCCTTAGTTAATGCACATTCACCTCCTAGCTTTCCAAACTATGTAAGTTTATCTCCTTAAAAAGGAGTTGAAATAGCTTGTTTTATTCAAGTCAGGTCTTACAACTGGAGAAGTGTATTAGTGGTATATGTATTACATGTATTTCTGATTGTAGATCCCCTTCTATTGAAAGATATTTTCTGATGGTCAGATACATCTAAATGAAAGATGTTCCAAAAATGATATAGGTAGCTATTTGTAAAGGAGAGCAAAAGTAAACAAAGTAAGAAAGATTAATGTATCTACCTTTAAATGTTCTGCTTGTATGAGGAAGAACCAAATACTGTTGTTTCTAATCATGCTTCCATTAATAAAAATCTTGAAGTAATTGCATAATGAGGCAAAGAAGTTAATAGATATTGGCATATTGCTATACTTTCTACTTTGTTGGCTTGAGTGGGAAACTTAGAGCCTGAACAGTGCTATTCTTTCTGTCCCAAAGTACTACAGCTGAGGAGACTAAAACATGGATTACAGTGATTTACAAAGAGGGCTCTGTAGCACTGACCACCCCAGCATTGAAATATACTCCACAGAAAATAAGATTTTATCAGCACATGCAGAAAACCTTGTACACTCTCCATTTGAGTTGGAGATTTGCAAAGCATGTTAGAAAGATTTACCATAAAGAAATCTGTTTACTTTTGATGCATCTGAAGTTTCACAGCTTTTTTTGCTAGTATCATAATAATCTAGAATTTATTTTGAGAGATGTAAAGCTCGTTGGTTATTAGAGTCTCTACAACTTCCTTTACTTAATTCTACTTGAGTATAAATTAGCTAGAAGTATGTAATTTGGGTTGTACAAGGTGCTCTAGCATAGCATTTATAATGTCCTTACCTGGTGCAGAACTTAGGATACTCAACTTGAGTTTCATTCTATCTAACTTTAGCTTCATGAGGGTGCAGATTCTCTGGGTGTTTCAGTCTGTGTACAGAGTCATTTTCACAAACAGCTTAGCAGATCCCCAGTTGAGGTCTATCTTCTAAGAACATGTTGGTCATAAAGGCACAGCTTCAAGAAAATTGCATATGAATAGCTCCCACTTTGCAACTCAGAATTAACTTATTTATTCAAAGCATATTGTTGCTAAGCTTCATAGAATTCTCTCTAATCTTAATTATTATAAAGTGTTTAATTGGTTTAGAAGAAAAGCTGCCATTTTAGAGTTTCCAGCTGTCAAAGATGACAAATCTTAGAGCAGTAATTTTTTTTTTCCTGAGAACTATCTGACCAGCTCTTCTGAGGCAAAGCTTAGATACAGATACCCACAGTACTTGGGCAAATTGTAACACTATCCTGACAGCATCGCTGAGCTGGGTTAGAGAGGAAGCTCACTGATTTCTATAGATTTCAATGAGCCTTTTGGGAAGGAGTGGCTGGAAACAAAATTCTTTCTCAGAGAAGTTATTAAAAGTTCTGATTAAATTCAAACCGTTTTATAAAAGTTTTTCTATTGTAAAGGGGGGGCCTTTGAAAGGAAATTTATCACAAGGAAAGGGAAATTTATCACAAGGAAAGGAAAATCTGGTGAGGAGTGAGGCAGTCCTGAGAGAAAACAATTTTGGACAGAAAGAAGCATTTTCCCACTTAGGGCAAGCTTAGAGACAATGGCTGAGCTGGTGAGTTCAGTCTGCAAGGCTCACCCAGGGTCCAGCAATTCCAGGACAACTGGTGTATCACAGAATGCAGGCAAATTACACCATGCAGGATGAATTTTTAGTACATCCCTCACCCGCTTGTGTGACAGCAATCAAAGTGCCAGGAAATGAAATTTCTTTTTTTTTTCCTTTAAGTTTATTGGTACATTTTAGGTATACATTATGATCACATTCAACATTGGGAATTTGTACCTGTGTATGATATATCTTGGTTCTTTTTTTTTTTTTTCCATTCCCCTTCCCTCCCTGCCACCTCACTACCCCTCCCTATTTACAAAAATTTTGTTTTTTCTTCTTTTCTCATATTTTTTCTCCCCCGCCGCCGCCTTCCTCTTCCCCTTTGGTACTTTTCTTCCTATTTTACATTATCTATTATACATTTTGGTCCTCATTTACACTTTCAGTCTTGTTTAGATGTCTTCTCATTACTATGTTTTTGGTTTAATTCCTGGCTTGATGTTTGTATATTATTTATTTACAGTATCTTTATTGCCAGTATTTAGAACCTATATGCAACGACTACTTCTCAGAGGTGTCTTCCAGGTATAGCTAGCTGGTCTTTGGGTTTTGAGTCTGTAATGATCCTTGGGCAATCTCAGTCTTGGTATACCAGGAAGAACAACTGACTAGAGCAATCACATTGGCCAAAGTAATGAAATCAGCATCAATAATAGCATCAAACACAGCTTAGTAAATGTCAAATTGTGGTAACTATCTGTCACTCTCTACTACATGAGCTGGACTTGAGGTTATATATCAAAATCTAGGACCAGCCAGAAATATGTTTGCAGTAAATAAGCCCTTCCGTATAGTGAATTTACCTTACGGGAAAAAGACTTAGAAGGAGTTGAGGGTTGTGGGAGAGAGAAATAGAATGAAAGGGAAAAGTTGAAATGGGTTACAGAGGGCCAGGGATTTAGCTCAGTGCTTCCACTGCCTGTCCAGCAAGCACAAGGACCCGAGTTTGATTCCTGGTACCAAAAAAAAAAAAAAAAAAAAGGAATGGGTTACAGGACGCAGGAAGATCCTGTAAGCTTCGGGAAACTGGTGAAGACAAGAGGAAAGAGAGAAGGAAGGAACAAAAGAACAAACTGCAACAGTATTGAAATAAGACCAATCAAGAAAAGAAACAAGATGGGGAAAACAGGACAAAAAAGAGGAGAAGGAGAAGGAGGAGAAGGAGAGAGGAGGAGGAAAACAAACAGAAAAAGAAAGTAAAAAGGAAGGAAAGAAAATAAAATCCGCTTCTAGGCATATCTCTGGGTAGACAATGTGGGCAGCAGCTCGCAGATCCGAGTCACTTATTCTCAGAGAGCCAGCCTGGTTTCTGACTGGTTTCTGGTAGCGAGGCCGGAAGTGAGCTCCCTGGCCTCCCGCAGGTTTGAACTCTGCACATTTCTGAGGCAGGTTGGAGCCGTCCCTCCCCTACAGCGAGTCTGGGTTCTCAACCACTCACCAACCGCTGTAGTCTGCTGGGTCTTTTATTGCAGTGACTATCTTCGCTCTCCCGGTGGGCTTCAATTCTCAGCCATTAGCCTCGGAGAGGCTCTCTCTCTGCTGCTCGCCACTCCGATATGGCCGTCACTCTTGCTGTGGGCCTGCTGATGGCGGGCAGCCGGGCAGCCGGGCTGCTGAAGAACGGCGCATGGGCAGGTAGGCGGGCCTCCGGCCGAAGGCAGCCCAGGCAACTGAAGATAAGACTCGAAGGCAGAGGTGTAGGCCGGCCCCAGGCTTCAGTCTGACCCAGCAGCTGTAGAAAAGGTGTGAGGGCAGGCAGGGAGGCTTTGGGCCCAGAAAGTGCAATTCCTGGAATCTTTAAGTAGAAAGGTAATATTTTCTTAAGTCTTGTCTGTGAATGGACTGACCCATTTGACTGAAATAAGCGCCTGCTGACCTGTAAATTTGAAACAGGAGATTTGGGTAACTAATAGTCTTTTAGGAAGAAATGTGACTTTATACTGTGTTTGTTCATAGTTTCTTCAGAGTGTGGTTAGGGATTCAGGAGTCTAACAACTTGATCTGTACTTTCAGACCCTGTCGTCTTCCCCGCGTCATTTTAATCGAATACTTTCATGATGTCATCCAAGACCTCCTATTTTCTACAGAAAGAATGTTTGAATTTCATTATTCCCAATTGCAGAAGGGGACTCTGTTGAGAACATGTAAGATAGCACAAAGAGGAAGGTAAGCTCATTATTGAAAATTTTCCTAGTTGTGTGGGTTATTTAATATAAAAGCTTTCTAGATTATAAAGGAGTGAGTTCTCTGCTGTTTTCCCAACGTTCAGCAAAAATCTGTACATATATAAATATTCAAAAAGAACTTACTGATTGATAAGAGTGATTATTAGAGCAGTAACAGAATAACATTCATGCAGAAGCAAAGAAAGACAAGCCAATGTAAGCAGAATGGTGTAACAGAACACAGGGACAGACCACATACACTTCTGCTATTCCAAGCATTACATTGTTTTCTCATGTATCCTATCAGAAATTTACACAGCAAAGCTGCATGAAGATGTTGCTAGGACCATCATTGTATACAAATGGGGTTATATGACCAAGGAGTGGCAGATCTGAGAATGTAAACAAAGGGCCATTTAAATCTAGAACTCAAGCTCTTAACAATTTCAACTATAAATGTCTGTCTTCTAAAAACCGAGGTTATCCAAACTGCTTCACAGTGTCTAAAAAAGTACTTTAAAAAGTGTGCTTATTTTTTATAGATACATAGATATTAATCTTATTTTTTAAAAACTCAAGTGACCAAATGTACAGGCACAACATTATATTGTGAATCCCATTCCTTCCCTCTCCCATGAGGCTGGAATGTATCTTTCCTGTATTTCCATCAGGAGAGAGGTGATCATACAGGATGTAGATTTTCTGTTTTATTCTCTAGTGTACAGGCAGATTAAAGCATAGACTCCCAGTTTAGTGAATTAGCACTAAACAAAGATGGCTTTTTTTTTTTTTGCAAAAAAGTTGTTGATCTACTTTAAGGGAAAAATATTTTATCTTTTCCTCCAAATGCTACCATAATTTTACAGACTGCTCTAGCACCATGATAAATTCAGTTCCCGGACAATCTCAGTATCATCATTTTCCTTTTATGTATCAAGAGAACTGAAACTAAATTCCAAAATAGAGTATAGCACTGAAATTCCGAAAACTGAGGTCAAGTATAATATTATTAAGAAATTGATCTTTATGGACAAGTATTCCTGCTATTGCCAGGTGATAAATTCTAAATGAAGAAGTGGTTCTTGTTTATTGGAAACCAATATTTATATTTGTAATTCAGTTCCGTTATTGCCAAAGATCATGCCTTGATTTTAACTTTTAAAAATTTACTTAGCTTTATTTTATGGTCCAAAATATGGTCTATGTGCAATTGAAAAGAATTTGTATTCTACTGTTCTTGGGTAGAACACTGTACATTTGCCAGTTAGGTGAAATGTCTTGGTAGCACTGTTCATATCTTCTATACATTTGTTAATATTTGTGTCTATTCTATCAACTGCTGAGGAGGGAATATTGAAGACTCTAACTATAATTGTGGTTTGTTCATTTATCTTTTAGTTTTATTAGTTTGTGTGTTAATGTTTTGAAGTTCCTTTATTGTTAGAACATTTAGAATGGTTGTGATTGTTTAGTACATTAACCCTTTTACTGTTATATAATATCACATTTATTTTCTGGTTATATTCCTTTCTCTAAAGCCTACTTATCTTTTTGATTGACACAATCCAGAATATTTCTGGAGTACAGCGTGATAATTCAATACATGTGTAAAATGTGTAACTTATCAAATCAAGAATACTAACATTCCCATCTCCTTAAACATTTATTATTTTCAAAGTCCTCTCTGCTAGTTCTTCATAAAATATATGTTGATGTTGTAAATTACAATCACCCTATTGTGTCCTCCTCTCTAACTCTATTTTTGTACCTGTGATTCAACTTCCTTCAATCCTCTGTCTACCCTACCTTTCCTATCCTTTAGTAACCACTAATCTACTCTCTTCTTTGAGTTTAACATTTTCATCTTCTACATATGAAAATATGCAATATTTGTCTTTCTATAACTGGCTTATTTCAGTTAATATAATGACCCAAGTTCCATTCATTTTGCCACATATAACAAAGTTTCATTCTTTTTGTAGTTGAATTTATGAATATACACATTTTTAGTTCATTATCTGCCTGCCAATGGATTGATTTCAATGTCTTGGCTAATTTCAGTGGTGCTGCAATAAGCATGGGAATGAAGATATCTTTTTGATAAGCTGATTTCATTTCGTTTGATACCCACCTAGCAGTGGAATAGCTGGATTATACGGTAATAGTATTTGGAGAACTTCTAATTATTGTTCTTTATTAATGGCTCTACTGATTTATGTTCCTACAAATCACAAATTCTTTTTCTCCTCATCTTCACCAATAATTTTTTTCTTGATAATAGCCATTCTTACAGGGGTGAAATGACACCTCATTGTAGTTTTGATTTGCATTTCTCTGATGGTTAGTGATGTAGAACATTTTTTGTGTACTTGTTGGTTATTTGCACATCTCTTTTATGTAACGTGTATTCAGATAATTTTCCCACTTTAAATCAGAATAGTTGTTCTTTTCCTGTTGCGTTTTTTTAGTTTTTAATATATATGGATATTAATAGCAAATATTTTCTTCCATTCTTTGGGTGTCTCTCTACTCTTCATGGTTTGATATGATCCAATTTATCTAAATTTTTTCTTTCATTGCCTGAAATTTTGAGATCATGCAAACAATTGTTTGTCTATATCATTGTCTTGAAGTGTTTTCCATATGTTATCTCCTAGTAGTTTTACAGTTTCAGGTCTTACATTTAGGTCTTTGATTCTTTTGAGTTGATTTTTGTATATGGCTAGAGATAAAGTTATAGTTTCATTGTCCTTTGTATGGATATCCATTTTTCCCAGCACACGTTATGGAAAATGCCATCTTTTCTCTAATGTATATTTTTGGAATTTTTCTTAAAAATCAACTGACATTTTACCTCCAATTCATAAACATAGGAAGGTCTTTCAGTTTGATTTTGTTGTTGGTTCTTCAATTTCTTTGTTTTGTAATTTTCATTGTAGAGGTTATTTGTTTTCTTGGTTAAATTTATTCTTGGGTTTTTTGTTTGTTTCTGCAGTCATTATAAATAGTATCGCTTTCTTGGCATCTTTCTCTGCAAATGTATTATTGGTGTATAAAAATGCCATGGATTTTGGGGTGTTGATTTTTTATCTTGTTACTAATTGCATTTACTGATTCTAGTAAAGAAGTCTTCAGGTTTTTCTGCATATAAAATCATGACATCTGCAAAAAGGGATAATTTTATTCCCTCCTTTCCAATTTAAATGCCTTTTATTTCTTTGTTTTGCCTAATAGCTCTGTCAGACTCCCATGCTCTGCTGAATAAAAGTGGTGAAAATGGACATCCTTATCTTCCAGATGTTACAGGAAACACTCAGTTTTTTCCCATTTGAGATAATGTCTTTTCTTTGTCCTACTTAGCCTTTATTATATTGAGGTATGATTATATACTAATTTGTTCAGAATTTTTATCATGAAGTCATGGTGAATGCTATCAAATGCTTTTTGTGTATCTGTTGAGAGGATAAGATGCCTTTACTTCTGTTGATATGATATACTACATTTAATGATTTGTGTTTATTGAACCATCCTTGTATCTCTGGCATAAATCCCACTTGAGCATGATGCACAATCTATTTTATGTGTTGTTGAATTTGGTTTATTAGTATTTTTGTGAGAATATTTGCATCTAGATTTATCAGGGATACTGATCTGCACTTCTATTGTGTCCTTGTCTGCTTTCAGTATCAGGGAAATGCTGTCTTATAGAATGGGTTTGGAATTCAATTTTTTTCAATTTTTTGGAAAGCGTTTGAAAAGAATCAGTGGTCATTCTATACTGTTTGGTACAATTGAACAATGAAGCCATTCAGTCCTAGATTTTTCTTCTTTAGGAAACTTCTTATTAGTCTCTCACTCTTGTTATGCATTATTGGTCTGTTCTGATTTTCTATGTTTTAATGATTCCAATTAGATAGGTTATATGTGGCTTTCCAGTTTCCCTAGGCTTTCCAATTTGTTGGGGTATAGTTTGTCAGAATATTTCCTAATAAACCTTTTTATTTATATGATATTAGTTATAATGTCTTCTTTGTAGCTCTGATTTTACTTTTGGGAGATTTTCTCTTTTAATCTTATTTAAACCACCTAAAGTTTTACCAATTTTTAAAATCTTTTCAGAAGGTTGTTTATCTCATAGATCTTTCATATATTTTTAGTCTTCATCTCATTTATTTTAGACTTTTATCATCTCTTTCTTCTACTAATCATAGATTTGGTTTGGTAATCTTTCTAGTTCCTTGAGTTGCAATGTTGGATTGTTTATTTAAAATTTTTCTTTTTTGAGTATAGGTGCTTATCGCTTTGTACTTCCTACTTAGTACTGCTTTTTCCATATCCCATACATTTTTCTATGTTGTTTCCATTTTCTTTTGTTTTAAGAAATTTTTAAATTTCCCTTTTAATTTTTTCATTGACCCATTTTTCACATATGAGCACGTTGTTTAGTTTCATAGTTCGATACAATCCGATTTCTCTAATTTTGCTTTCATTTCCTGAGATTTTAGGGTCTTGGATAAGTGTTTTCAAATTGGCTCTGTGAATCCTCTTCGTGGACCACTGTAGGGATGGGAAAGAATAAGAGTGAGTGAGGTTCTGGGGGCTGTTAGAGCTACTCTGCTTTCATCAGTTTTATTGAGGCTGGTAATTATTTTCACTTGCACAAAGGACTTTGAAAAGCACAGATATCTCTCTTCCTTTTAGTAACAAAAATCCTATGATTGCAGCCTAATTATCATTTTATTCATGAAGAGTTAGATGAGAGAAGTGAAATTTTCTTGGGGTCACACCACTAGTAAGAGGACATGTAGGTCCAATAAATTTCACAAATGTTATTTTTTTTAATTTAAAGATT